TTGTTGAAAGTTTGCAGCTTGGCCCTTGTTACCACACCTGTTTGGGGTGGTTGTTGAACTATGGTTGTTGCAAGCTGACTTGAGGAAGCCTTTGTCTTTGACTGAGCTTTGTGCTTTGTTTTTGGCTGACTTGAGCTTGGCTGACTTGAGTTTAATTGTGCTTGCTTGCTTAATGTCAAACAACCTTCCTGTTCTTGAGGAAACTTTTTATTTGCTATGTTGTTTGGACCTACCCCAATTTCACTCTATGACATGGATTAAAATAGAAGCAGTTATTATGATAACAGAATAAAGAAAACACAAGTGTTCTTTTGATCTAATATTTGTTCTACCTTTTTTGCAGCTTTAATCTCTTTTTTCTTCTTCTCTTCCACCATCCAAGGGGTGTTCAAGGGATCTGCCTGCTGACCTTTTTAAGTCTGTATCTGCTACAGCAAGTAGTCTATAGGTCTTGGCATAATGCCCAAACCCCCCCACAGTTTTTGCATTGGTTCTTCCTCTTTAATGTGCTTGGTTGACCACCTGCATTAGAATACTCTCCTTGCTTAAGCTTCCTTTTTTTGCTTTTTGGTCTCCCAAGATGCACCTTAAAAGTAGGAGGTTGAGGTTCCCTTAAATGGAGTCTCTCCCAGTGCTTGGGATGAGGTATTGGTTGGACAGGGGGTTCATAAGCAGCCTTGTATGTGTCCATGGTGTAGTATAGGTCAACATTAGGGGTAAAGTTCGGTATTCGGTTTGGATTTTACCCCAAACCGAATCCAAACCGAAATTTAGGTTTTGAAATTTTCAATCCATATCCAAACCGAATAAGCATTTAATCCAATCCAAACCGAACCGAAATTACAACAAAGAAACCGAATCCAACCCGCAAACCAAAATTTTTGGACTAATTTTTGTAGATCTGTGATTTTTGTAATTAAAAAATTATTTTTAAACAACTTTAAAAGATCCAGGCTTAAATTTCCCCAAATGTAATCTCAAAAATTAATCATTACATACAAATTACATCAAACAACCATGAATATTCAGATAAATTTTAGATCCAACAACCTCAACATTACCCAGAAAAATAAAATACATAATCAATAACACAAAAGAGATAAAATTGAAAATTTAGCACAAATAAATAATTAAAGTTACAACTTCGACCAAGCACTTCGCCCTTGATTTCTTTTCCTACTGACCATCTTAAGGTTGTTGATGTCGGCAACAAGGAATGGTTGTGGCGGTGGTTATGGCTGCCGATCTAAGTTGCGGATGAAAATAGACGGGGAATAAGGATTGATGGTTTAAGTTGTAAGGAGAGAAGATAGAAAGATTATGTGAGTATGAGAAAGAGGAAGATGACAGTATCTAAGACTAAGAGGAGAGAGGAGAAAAAATCCGAGAGAAGGTCAGAAGGGAGCACGAGAGAAGAGGAGAGAGGAAGGAAGGAGGCCGATGAATATATTAAACCATGTAAAAGGAATAATTAGGGTTTTCTTAGTATATATATAAAAGGGAAGTGAGGTGGGCTAAAATTCAATTGGGCTTATGTGATTAGTTTGGGCCATAATTCGGTTTCAAATTCGGTTTTCGGTTTTTTAAAACCCAAAACCGAATCCAAACCGTAATCCATATTTTATAATTTTCCCAAACCGATCCAATCCGAATTGAAAAAAAATCCAAACCAAATTACTAATTCGGTTCGATTTTTGGTTTGGTTCGATTTTAATCCAAATTACTTTCACCCCTAGTCAACATATGCCTCTATGTCATCCCTTATATCCAACATGCATGCATAAGCATGAACACAGGGAATCCCAGTCAGTTCCCAATGGTAAACAGGTGCAAGTTTCCTTATCCAAATCAACCAACACTTGGTCATCCGATCCTTCGCACCTTAAATGTATTCCCTCTTGATGGTTGCACCACATAGGACCTAGCCACAAAGTCTATCCTAGCCAAAACATTCCTTACATATGGCACTAAGTTGCTTCCAATTGTTTTTTAAATCCTCCCACTTTTAATTATTCCTATTCATTATATACCTCCTCATCCATTCCATTTGGGTGAGGATAGGTTTATCTCTGGCAGGCCTTATGACTGCATTGAAAGTCTCACACATGTTGCTCAAGAACATGTTGGACTTGCAGTTTGGTGTAAATGCATGTCTACACCAATGATGGGTGGGAATGTTCATTAAATAATCATATGCCTCTTCTGAGAGAAATTTGATAGACTACATGGCAACTTCATACTCAAACTGACAATATGCATTAACTTACCAATTTAGGACATCATACATAAAAGAAATCAAGACATAAACACAGATAACATCATACATATAAGAAATGATGATAGAAACATGACTTACATAAGTAGTTGCCCTTATTGCACTCCAAAATAGCTCCTTGAATGCTGTCCTAGCAAATTTGAGCTTGAAGTTGGCCCAAATATGCCTAACAGAAAATCTCTGTTCAGCTTTTGGAACAACATCATCCATTGTTTCCAATAAACCCTACCAAAGTCATACATAACTTAATTCAGTTTCCAACCAATTTCATAAAAAAATAAAATGTTAACAACTCAAACTCAATGTATAAGAGGGAAAGAAAATCATACCTTCTGTCTGTCAGATATAAAGGTCAACCCAGCTCCTTGATCACATGAAAGCATTCCCATTAGTGATTCCAAGAACCAACCCCATGTTTCTTTGTTTTCTATCTCAACTTTAGCCCAAGCTAGAGGAAATAAGTTGTTATTCCCATTTTTAGCCACTGCCACTAGAATTCGACCAAGACAGGCACCTTTGAGGTGACAACCATCCACCCCAATCAGTGGCCTACAACCTTTTGCAAAACCATCTATAAGAGGCCTTAAACAGATGAACATTCTCATAAACAAGGGTGGCTCAGGGCTATTAAGACCATCAGTAACAACATTGCACCCAGAACCAGGATTATACTTCATCACAGCTTTCCCATAATCCCACACCCTTGCATACTGCTCCCTGGATGAACCAAATATGATGAGTTTTGCCTTACACCTAGCTACCCATGCCTTAAAATAAGTCACTTCAATTCCCAAATCATTCAAAATCCTAGCCCTAATATCCTTAATTCTCCAACCAAGGTTACTCCTAAACTCCTCCAAATACCTCTCTGCTATGTATTCAGCGGTACGCATCTTATTCTTCTTCACTCTCAAACAGGTATGTTTTAATTTCAAGCTTTTAATTTTCTATGTTTGCTGCTTAAAAAGTTTTGATGCAAGAACCTTGAATTGACACTTTGCTCCCCCCCACACATGTACAAGCACGCATTCTACAAGTGTAACTATTGAACTGAGAGTCACATCTATACCTACACTAAATTGTAATCCTGGTATTGTCATTATGCAAGAAGTAAAACACTACTAGAAAAAAGACTTATGGCAACGACAATAATCTGTTACCATATGTCCTATTAATGTTGCCATATGCCTATAGCAACGGATTATAAACCGTTACCAATAGGTGTCGTTGCTAAAACTCTTTGGCAACGACTTTCATGCATTAGGCAACATTTATTGTAAATTGTTGCTGTAAATAATTATGGCAGCACTTTTCTTAGGTAGCACTTTTTGACTTATGCCAACACTTATTCAACAACTTTAGGTAACATTTTCAAAGTTAAAGCAACAAAATTCGCTAATTTTAAGCAACACTTATTAGCTTGATACTAGTTGGCGTTTAAAATTAAGGCAACACTTTATTTTGTTTATGGCAATGCTTCCAATTGAAACTAAGGCGACACTTTTAAACCTATTAATGGCAACACTTTTAATTAGCATTAAAGGAATATATTTAATAATGCATATAATAAGTGACTTGCTTAAATAGCATATGATCGATAAACTTTCGCTTAGAAATAAGTTCTTCATAAAAAAATATACGTAGTTAATTCAAATCCATTCTAATTGATAAGCTAAATATTTATTACAAACAACAAAAACAATTCAATCTAGATATTTCATACATTAAACTAATAAAAATTCCAAAACCAAATTCAAAAACCAATCTAATATTTTTGCTCAAAGTCTAATAGATCTTTAGATGTATGATGGAGCACTTCATACTTGGATATATATAGTATCCTGCAAAACAACAACAACAACAACAACAACAACAACAACAACAACAACAACAACAACAACAACAACAACAACAACAACAATAATAATAATAATAAGACTTATATTCAATCAAAAAAATAAATCTCAGATGAATTATTTATGGAACATTATTATCAAAACACTAGAAATTACGATTGTAGTGAGTAAATGATAAAATTAAAAAAATATTTCATCTAAAAGGCAAGAAGCAAGTACCGTACGTAGCAACATCACAAGAGTATAAGGAAGTAACATCAAACGATCATAAATTTGTGTAATCACCGATACTACATTATCAAAACACTAGAACAATTTGGCTAAACTAGCATCATAAATTTTGATGCCTAGTTTCGAGAAGGAAGAGATAGAGTTTTTTAATCTTATAATTTTCTAAGCAATAATGCCAGTAAGCACATATTAATAACACAAAACTCCAGTTTCTAGATTATTCATTATACCATACAAAGTAGTACATGAACAATACGGAACAAATCTGTAAATCACTGGCATGCATATATGAGCTTCTTAACACCCTGCAAATTAAAACATATAATATCATGGTCATAAATTCGTGCTTATTCAATTCTGAGGCCTTTTTTAGCATATGCACACACATAAAAATATATAATTCAAAGCACCTAAGTATGATCTTTGGTCTGACATCCAACTCGGAAACCAAAGACCTTTAAGGTTAACTAGTATAGATGCCCAACAATCACGTTGCTTATCTGTAAGTTTGTGTACTTTGTTTAGAACTTTAGATCATATAATACACCATTTCAAATTCTTCATTCACATGTAAAATGTAAAAGTAGAAAAAGAGAAAAGAAAGATAACATGTAAAATGGAATAACTTACCTGTTCATTATCTTAAATAATATAGTTTATGGATCATTTGTAGTCGTTGAAACGATAACTTTTGCAATAATTTCTGGAGTTAAGCTAGGATCTTTTTGGCGTAGTTGTGCAAGTGCTGATATTACTACATCAAGAGTTATATTTCCTTGCTGATTTTCAATATCCATGCGTATCTCTTGAAGTTTTAAGGTCTCAGATTCAAGCTCCTTCGTTTTCCTCTCTATTTCAGCTTCTTGTGCAGCATGAACTTCTTTTTCCTTGGCAAATTCTTCAATTTCAGCATTTATATCCTTTTGAACATCAGCAGTTACAACACTTTTAATAGACTCCATGACCTCTTCTGGTAGAATCAAAGAGGTACCAGGTCCTTTATCTTTTCGCTTCTTACGAGTGGCACCAAGTCCTTGTAATAATTTTGTGCCTCGACGTGCATTTCCCATAACTTCATCAAATGGGTCCTTAACAGATTCACCACTTTGATCATCTTGATTCGCTTCCAATTCCCTCATTGCTTGATGTAACAATTATTAAAATAGGTGACAAAGTATACGATAAATTTATTCATTAAATAAATTAATGGGAATGAGATAATATTTACTATCTTCTGTTGTGTATCATCATATGGTCGATCATAAGTTCTTCCCTCCTTTCGCCGTCGAGTCTCTTCAAACATTTTTCTTTTTGATGGTGCCACACCATCTTTTCGTAGCTAAGAAATAAACATAAATAAATATATAAACAACATAGTATCCATGAAATCAAAAAAATCATTATATATATGGAATGTATTTCGCACCAACTGCTCATGATTCATGGAAAAAGAAACGGGACCATTTGTATGTATGTTGTCTTGTTCACGCCGATTTTCAGAATTTTGCAAACTGGTTTTCTACATAAAACAAAAATGGATAAGCATAAAAGTCAAGAAAAATTTATTGAGTTCCTAATTGTTCAATTATACCTTTGCTATTGGCGTCCCCCAATAAGCTAAAAGTGTTTTGTAATGTGCTTCAGGCACTCTTTCAGGTGGATGCTTCAATCTCTCTTCATAGGTGTCATACATATAATAATGATCTCTTTTGAGGCGACATTTGAATCCTCTCCATGATTGATCAAGAGTCTCCATTACCCAATCCTTAGCTTCAACTGGAAGGATGTACTTGCTCTAGAATAATGGTTAGGTTTATGTTATAAAATACAATAATAAAACACATATAAAAGTAAACACATGTTGTATACTCAAAATAGTACAAATGAAAGAAAATAACACTTATATTCACAAATTCCCAGATTTTCTCCTTGTTTGGAACTTGTTTCCAATTTGTGTATGTCAAGGGAGCTCAATTGTAATCATGAGCAATAGTTTCTAAGAATCTAGTTAGTTCTTTCCTTGCCTTTTTAGGGCCGATAGCTTGTCCTTTGTCATTACAATAGATAGCTACGCGATCTTCCCATTTGCGAGCATGGACATCAAAAAAATTTGTTGGACCTCGCCCTTTCTTCTTAGGAACTTTTATCCAAGTAAAAACAAAAGAATAAGTTCAAAAGAAATAACAAATTTAAAGATAGAAATAAAGATTAGAATCGCAACTTTATAAATGCAATTACATGACATGGAAAAGTTCATAAGTAAACATGTGACAAGCATTCAATAGTTTTTAAGGAAAATACAAGAAAAAAAAAAGAAGGAAAATACAAGCCCAGCAAAAATACTTAAACCAAAGAAAAAAAAAACATGAAAAACAAAATTAAACATGCTGCAACAAAGGAAGCCAAAACCAGCAACAAATCAACAAGAAGTAGAAGCACAACAACAACAAAGTATATCTCCAAACTGCACCATTTCCTAGCAGGACTGCCAACAGAACAAGACAGCAACCAGCAGCCCCACAGACAGAAAGACAGAAGCCAGCAAGCAGATTAGCTACAGCAGCATACAGAAACACAACAAGCACCGGTTATGTTCCACTTAAAATCCCAACTACTTGTATGGCTGTATATAACTAACTGCATTTTGAAAATCACATCACATGTATCAATATCCACTCAATTTTAATGATTCAGTTAACCAAGCATCACTTTCAATTCCAATCAAAATGTACATTGACAAGACAAGTAAAAGAAGGTACTTTACAAAAATAATATAACCTGTACACTTTAAACTGCTGCAGTTGTTTCTGTGTAAAAGGAAGAGTGGAAAAAGCCCAAAAAAATTAAATAATTGATCATAATGTCTATCCTTGTGAAAGATGGCAGCACAAAAAGGGGGCCAAATGTTAACAGCAAGTATATGCATAATATGCTCCTTTTGCAAGTAAGAGCAATGAGCCAAAGACAACTTTTTTTTTGGCAAAATTACAATATGCAGAGGTCCATCATTTGGAAAAATTACAATCTGCAGAGAGCCATAAAGTAAGCACAAAGAGTGTTTTTAATTTTATATTTTATTTTAATGTGACGAGGGTAAAATAAAGCTATAATACACTAGGGTAAAATAAAGCCATGAGGATTGAACAAAGCTTCATAAAGAAAGAGAAAGAAAAAAAATAAAGAGCTCAATAAATAGCATTAGACAACCAAAGAATTTGGCATCCAACCTGAGCCAAGAATGATGACCAGCAAGCAGCAGCCTTAGAAACCAGGCTACGCCCCACCTCAACCACAACAGCACAAGCAACCAGAGAAGAAAGAAGAGAAGAGGAGGAGAAAAAGAAGAGAAGAAAAGAGAATAAGAAGAGAAAGAGAGGAGAGAAAAACTGGAAGCTAGCAGATTAGCTACAGCAGCATAAAGCAACACAACAAAGCAGCAGCAGAAAAGCAGAAACTGACAAAAAAAAAACACCAGCAGGTAGATTATAATCTTGGATTGAATAACTAAAAAGTTTACAAGACCATAAGATTTTTCTTGATTTTTAAAGGGGTGGAGTATTAAAGACAAACCTTGTGCGGAGACGGATTCTCCTTGGCTTTCTAGTGGAACAATGGTCGAAAGCGGACACTTAGATCTTTGTCGATCTTGCCCCAATTGTTGTACATCTTGCTCTATTTGTCGTACTTCAGCTGGATCCATTTGATTTTGAGCAACAAGGAAATCGTCCATTGCCATAGATGGGCACAATGGTTGCTTCTTATTCTTCCTAGGTGGTTGCTCTCTAGTTCTTGCCTTCTAGAATCCGATCATTAAGGTAATCAATATAAAATAAACATGATCCCAAGAAGAAAAAAATAATGAAAAAAAGGAAAAAGAAACCTTCTTAGGTAAAGAGGCTGTTGCTTCTCGAGACATCTCAAACTCCTCATCTTGGTCACAATTTTCTTCATCAGGCACATAGTCTTGATCATCTACATTAGAATTCACATTCTCTTTTCCTTTTGCAAAGTTCTTATTTTTTTCCAACAATTGTTGAGCAATCTTGTCAAGCCCTAATTCTCTAAACTTCTGGGCATTTCTTTCTATAGTCATAGACCTTACTTTCTCATAAGGTGCTATAATGGACTTCGAGGCAATTTCAGGCTTCTTACTTCCATTCTTCGTCATTCTACAAACAAATATTTAAATAGTTAGTGGGAAAAAAAAGTTTAGACCTACCAAATAGCAAGTGTAATACATAAAACAGAGTGTAATATAATAAAATCGACTAAGGAAGAAGATAGTTTTGAGGAAGTCCAAAGACGATAAATAATTAGTAGTAATCAAGGAAAATCAAATGTTCAAACAGCAAGTGTAATACATAAAATAGAGTGTAATATAATAAAATCGATTTTTTTTTAAATAAATACAATTTCTCAAGATTCATTAACAATCTTATGGCTAATGAGCTGGAATATCAACAGTTGCATCCATCCAATCCCAATATGTATTATCATAGTCAATGTCATCTTCAAGGTTATTAACATCCTCAGAGTCTGATAAATCATTTATGTTCACAGCACGCACTTCACCACCACCAGCTCCTACATGAATATGATTAGCATCGAAAGAAGGCATGTTATTAGAACTAGAATTAATAGGCTCCTCCCAATATGTTTCCTCATTCAGTGCTTCCTCAAAGTCAAAAAGGTCTCTTGGAACCCTTTTCATGACGTATTGAATATCTTTTTCTAATGGATCCTGGGAATAGTATACTTGATGAACCTGAGAAGCCAATACAAATGGATTATCTTTGGAACATTTCTTCTTGAAATTGACATATGTAAGCCCAAACTCATCAATATCACTAAGAAACCAATCGCACTTAAATAGCACAACACTGAATTGAGACCAAAAGTCTAACTCAAAAATTTCTTCTATTACACCATAGTAGGTAACATCTCCATCGACGGGATTTCGATCCCTTGAACTGGCAAAACTTGAAGTCAAAGCTGTCAGAGTCACTCCACTATTTTGAGTCTTTAATTGTGAATCACGTTCTCTAGTGTAAAACCTATAACCATTGATAAAATACCCGGTGAACCTCCTGGCCTTAGGATTAGGACCCTTAGCCAACCAAAAAATTTCTCCATTAACCTGCTCCCTTTGTACTTTTTCAAAAAACCAATAAATAAAATCTTTACTATGACTTTGTGCACTATCCCATCTACGCTTTCGACCTTGGCTATTCATCCAAAGTTGATGTTCTCTGAATTATAACCAACAAAATATCATTATTTTTTTTAGAATAAAATTATAAAAACTGAAAATTTATTAAAAGAAAAAAAACTCTTACTTGATGTATGTTTCAACTATTGCATTGTCGCAATTGAAGACAATATATCTATGAGCATTTTTCAGACTTTGGAAATCTAATGTAAATCCTTTTCCTTTTCTCTTCCTTTTCCCTCCAATAGGATGTCCTACTTTGGGAAACAAAGATAATTCATCATCATGCTGATTCAAGGAAAAATTCCTAGCACATCTTCTATCTAGTCTAGTGTTTACACCTTCACGCAAATATCGAGAAATAATTGTCAAGAACTCTTCCATCATATACCCTTCTGCTATACTTCCTTCGGGATTACTCCTATTTCGAACATAGGACTTCAGCTTACCTAAATACCTCTCAACAAAGTACATCCATCGATATTGCACAGGTCCACCAAATTTGATTTCCTCTACTAAATGAACAGGTAGATGAATCATAACGTCAAAGAATGCTGGAGGGAATATCATTTCAAATTGACAAAGTATATCAACAACTTCAGATGCTAACCTATCTAATTCTTCAAGATCAACAATTTTACTACATATACCATGAAAAAAGTTCCCCAATCTAGTCAAAGGTACTGCAACATTTTTTGGCAATGTCTTCCTGACAGCAACTTGAAGCAAGTGATGCAATATGACGTGTGCATCATGAGTTTTGTAGCCAGAAAAATTCCTTTCTTTAACATGCACACACCTCCCGATATTAGATGCATACCCATAAGGTAACTTTGTTTCCTTAAGAGCTTTGAGAAACAAATCCTTCTTTGCATTACTCATAGAATAAGGCGCCGGTGGAAATAACATGTGGCTGCCATCTTCAGATGGATAAGGATGGAGGTGTGGTTTTATGCCAAGATCCAACAAATCCAAACGTGCCTTATCATGGTCTCTAGTCTTTCCTAGAATGGCTAACAAAGTGCCAACAATCTTATCGAAGACATTTTTCTCGATATGCATGACATCTAAATTATGACGATATTTAATATTAGACCAATAAGACAGCTGTAGAAAGCATGATTTCTTTTTCCATGGACCTTTACCACCTCCACCTTTACTTTTCTTCTCAAAATCATTTTCAAAGTTCTCTAATTCATTCATCAAATCAGTACCTGATAACGGAGAAGG